GGTTCAGATTCTAGAAGTACTACTAGCTTCTCAGAATGCTCTCATACTTTATTCTTTTGAGTTTTGTAGAGGCAACTCATGAAGTTGTTTCTTGGTTAGTATCTCCTCTGTTTTATCAAACAACTTGAACTGTTTTTCTTTTCCAAGAAAAGAAAAATTTTTCCCTACCAAAGGGATCAGATCCAAAAGGACTTTTTTTTTTTTCCTGGTCTCATTAAGCTTTACTGATCAGCAATTTTTATTATTTTTTTCATTACAATGCATACAAATTATATATTAACTATGTCTTTTAAAAATCATTCTAAATCTAAAATAGTCTTTTTGACAGCAACTCTACTGTTACCTGTGTTGTGAATTGCTATAAGCACAGTCCAAACTCATTAATCAATGGATAAATAGACAAGAAGACAGACCCCAAGCAGCTTAAAATAGGGAGAGATAACTTATTTGCTTTAGTATTAGAAATATCTCAATAGTAAATGGAGAAAATGAACAACTTTGTAGCAATGTATATTATGTATAGCGTTGAGGACTGCATCTTTAACCAGTTATCAGGATCATAGATGGACGGCAGAAACAACAAATTTAATTTTTTACCATTTGCAGCTAGTAAGTGACATGAGGTCAGAATGCTTTATAAAAATTAATTTTAAAAGTAACTTTTTAAAACTGTCAAAACCACAGAGGGTTTTGAACTAATATTTGGATTGTAACATCTATTTCGGAGCTAACCTGTGGTTCATGCCTTTTAGATTCTGATCTATCAAGTTCAATTTCTCTCTCAGAAAGTGCAAAAGGAGTATTAGAAACCATAGAAAGTCAAAAGGGGAAAAACGCACACTTTCTGTTTTGTATTTTTCAAATACCATTATACATATATGGAGAGTAAGTTGTCAAGGTTCGTTTTTTTCATAAACTCTGCCTCCATATTGCTTTGTGATCTGTTATTTAATTTTCTGTCTTTCAATGTAATAGTTAAGATACAGTGATTCTGACCATAAATGGTGGACAGAATGCAGGTAGCTTGGTGAACTGGAGAAAAATAGTAGAGGTAGTTGAACTTACCAGCACTTAATATCTTCAGACCTCAAATTACTGAATTTAATAACGCAGGAAAATGTTTTCCGTTCTTGTTCAAACTAGTTTTCTCCAAAATAGAAGTGTAACAGAATACTCCTGCCTCTTTCCTATGTTGAAAGCAGGATCTTGCCAGTGTTGCCCAGGAGATCTGCCTGTGCCGTTATAACCTTGTGCCAAGGATCACTTAACAACATATAAGTGATTTTGTGCTTAGAATACCAGACATACCTGCAGTGGGCATAAAAACAGTACAAACGGTTTTCTCTTTAGTAAAGGGCATGGGTTCTTTAGGCAGTTTTCCGATCCCTATCAGTCCAATTCATGTCGTTACCTGATGGAATGACTCTAGGTAATCCCAGCTGCTCTCGAACAGCTCTAACGCATTACTAAGACTTAAACCAATAAGCACATCGACTCACTCTATTCATGTCTGATGCTATATGAGCCAAGCAGACCTTGATCTATATCCTCTTCTGAGTTCAGAGATGTCATGCTTTTCCTCTGATTCGCAAGGCAGTTGAAATGTATTACAAAACTATCCTCCAAAATATTTCCTTGAGTTTAATCTTGATAGAATCACTGTAGTAGCAGAGTTCTGTTCTTCTTCTATAGAAGATGTTTACATGTACTAAGAAGCCACTGTGATCCAAGCACAGAAGTTACTGTGTCGTACATACTTGAAGCATCCTGTACAGATTAGAGATCTTTTCTATATAAAGTACGTTGTGCTCAGGAATAATAGCATGAGGACCTACAAGAATGTGAATACTCTTATTATCCAGAGACCTGTCATTCTCCATATGAAGCAGTTGTTTGGGCCTCAGTTCAATATCCCAGTGATTTAAAAGCCCTTCAGGAACTAAGCAAGAGGATTGTACAGATACTGTACTTGGTGCAAGGGAAGGTGTATGAGACTCCTCACTCCCCTTTCCCCACCGATCCTGCATATGTACCGAAAGAATCTTGTCTAATAAAGATGTTTTTCTGTTTGTGATGAAACTAGAGCATGCCAAAATAGCATGACAGATTCTTGCCGTTGATGCTATTACATTTATTTCAATGAGAACAGGAGGAAAGTATTTTATTCAAGCTAGAAGCGCACTTGCTTTCCATCTCAAATTCTTTTATTGTCCTGAGGACTGATGAAAAGAACGTATTCATTCTTTTCATTAATGAAATCGCTACTGTTTTACAGAGATGCCAAAAATTGGACCTTCTTGGGGGAAGAGTTTTGTCATTTGACTTGCTATTCTGTTTTTCAAATAACCAACTAGTTATAATGAAATAGGTACATCTATTGAAGCAGACTGAATTCACTGACGTTTCCTCAGCAAAGTAAGGAACAATTTCTGACAATCATAAGGAAGCCTAGTTTTGTTTACCTTTTCATCCAGCCATTGTGCCTTGCCATATCTTGTGATTGCTATAGAAATGATAGAAATGAAACTTTTAAAATGGTTTCTGCATTCATATATTTCAACAGAAATGTCAGCAGTGATGGCAGATTTGCTGATAAAGAACAACAGTTTCCCTGGTGAGAAAAGATGAATTTTTTTTCTTCTCCTCCAATTTCTCAATATTCTGAAGGCTTGAACATCCTTTCTGGGCTCCTTAGAAATATAAATGCTTTCAAGGAGGAAATGATTGGTGGCAAGCAGTTTATTCCCTAGTGGCCTGCTCTACAAGATTTTCAATTAATGATTTCTATAAATTGCTTCTTACAAAAAAAAAAAAAAAAAGTTGCTGAAAAGGAGATATATTATGCCCAGCTTTTTGACATTATTGCTGCCCTTAGCAAATGCCTGTCTGACAGAATCTTTGAGAAATATCTATCAGCTGATCCTGGAAGAGTGGTTTCTCTTTCCTGTGCTTTTTAGCGTGTGGAATGCTTGTACAGAAAACCGTAAAAGCAGAAGATGAATACAGGAAGTTGCTTCTACTTGATAGCTTAAACTAGCTTCATGTCTGTGCCCAAGATTCATTCCTTGTCTCCTCATAGAAAAGGATTCCTACAAAGGAGGTGGATTTTTCCCTTCCTGAAAGGAATACTTATTCTAATTTGCTCTGGTTGAATTTTTTGAAATTAATGGCATGGTTCAAGTATTAGTTTGTTGTATATTTTAGCTGATATTGTTGCACATTCTCCAGACTTCATTCAGGATTTGTCTTATCTCATTATGTGTATTCACAACTTCTAGACTTCTTATTCACACATGGCTGCAGGAAATTAGTCTACTCCTACTGTAATCTTTCTCTCTCTATTTCTGCCCCTATCCCAGTAGCTGTTAAGACAACTATTTAGGAAGGAAGCCATCAGGTGATGTACAGCTTTCAAAAGCAGGACTTTCTACTGTGTTTTCAAAAAAAAAAAAAAAGTTTGATTCCTGATTCCTACCCGCTTGAGAAGGAGTCTGATTTTTTTATATAGGGTTAGGAGATAATGGGAGAAACCTGGGAATGAAGAATTCTGTTTCAGGACAGAAATTTTAAAGACTTCCAAAGAAAAGAGCAACAGGCAGCTGTAGTGTATCTATGGTCTACGCACTTGGGAAAGAGAATAGATTTTAGGCTTGTTTTCACTCGTAGTCCAAATGGAGTGTTTGCGCTGTAGTCATTAGGTTCAGTATAATGTAATTGGTCTCCAAATCTAGGTCTTGAATCTCCTTATTACCAATTAAGATTCAGTTACCAAAATGGAGAAGTGTGCCATGGAGGGGTAAAGAAGGAATACCAGTTCACAGTCTAGGTAGGGCTATAATAACAAAAAAATTTAGATGGATTTTTTTTCTTTTCTTTTTTTTTTTGTTCAAAAGGAGAATTGGAGAAGGCTGCTTATGCAAAATTCAAGTTGGGAAAAATGAAGGTGCTATAGCATCCCGAGTCTTCAGACCCAAATATGTTTGGGCTAGTACTTTAGGATTTTTTAATAGAATTACTGTTAGTTATCTGCTTGCTTAAAGATAGCTTGCCACAAATAGGTATTGTCAGTAATATTTTCAGTATTAGGCAGAAAATGTAAACATTATAAAGAACAAAAAGTTCAGGATGTACACTTTTCATCAACCTCTATTATTCTTGTAAGCCATACTATTTAACATGCACACAAAGTTTCTGATCAATAGCCCATCTAAACAGAACGTGTGCTCTTTTTATCACTAGAGCTGTCATAAATGATGGACTTGTACCTATGATGTGTTTACAGAGGAATTATATTTGCTCATCTTTAGAATGACTCAGAACGTAGTTGGCCTACTTGTTGACATATTTTATAAATTTTACTGCCTTTCCTCTATTTATCCTTTTTCATATTGGTGGTCTCAATTGTAGCCTCCATTAGAGTTTTCATTCCCTTTATATTTTTGTCACTCTGGTGGTGTTGCTTAAAATATAATCCTCTAATTCCTGAAATAATTATAGGACATCTACATCATCAGTTCTACTTTTCAGTTATTTGCGTGCTTTTGAAAATCATCATAGCTGAGAAAGAAGAATGATTGTAGGTTTGTGTAATTAGTCTAATACTTTAATTTATACTTATTTTAGCTGTGTGCAAGTTATTTACCATATTTCTTTTTTGTTTTCTACAAGGAAAATAATCTCTTGTGCTGTTGTAGTAATTCCATTTTCTTTGAGGCACACCTATTACTTACTTTCCCTGAGTGTTTGCATCTATGCCCTTTGTCGCTGAGATGAATAACACCTTCCAAACCGAAGTGCAGTAGTAGCTTACCAAAATATGGACACATTATCTTAAGCGGCTCAGTGAAAGTCAGTGTTTTGTCCAAAAAGATAATGTGTTTGTCGGGCGTTAAGTTTTAGGCCAGGAAGAAATCACCTGATTTAAAAAAAAAAAAAAAAAAAAAAAAGTTCTAAAACATATCCCTTACCATACAACCAATGAATAACAATAGAGAAAACTATACTTCCTATGTCCTTTTTGCAATAGAAGAATGTGTGGATAGTATGATTAAAAAGAATAAATGGGGTAGTGAAAAATGCAAATACTAACTGGCATATGGAAAAATTAATTTCTGTTAAAAAATAATAAAGCAAAATGTTCATTTCTCACTTTGCAAAAAGCTAAAAACAATTCCTATGAGTTACTGTGGCAAAGATACTATTATGTTTTTACATTTCCTTTTAAAGTCTATAAAACAATATTTTCATATCAAAATCAGTAACTGTGGTTTAGGGTTAGAATTCTTGTTTTCTGATTGCTAAACACTTGAGATGGAAGCATCATAATAGCAGAGGGCTTAATTTCTAAAGCAATGGTTCCTGACTGTTATGTAACTGAACATCATTTGAGGAAAATTAATCACAGCCAGAGCTCCACATCTGACCGCCCTTCTCCTTTTGCCTTGGGGCTCTTGCATCGTCTTTTCCCTTACTGCTGACTCGGACTGCCACTTCGTCCTTCTTGCCCTGATTGCTAGGATCAATGTTAGGTCCTTTTACCTTTCCCTGGAGCTGTCATCCTTCGCTTTGAGACAAAGCTGCTGACTCTGGCTGTGCCCTGATGACTCGGTCCATAGCCTCAGGTATCTCTGCGCTGTGCTGCCCTGCTGAGAGACCCGACTGGGAATTTGTGAAGCTAGCATGCGTCTGGTAGAAGTTAGTTAGCTCTGTGCCTCATGTAATCTGCTCAGTGCCGCATAGTGAGATGTGCCTTTCAAGTTACAGACCACAGTTCTGAGTAATTTAGAAAAGCAGTAACTGGCAGTATAAGTAACACTGTGTGTAGAGGTCTGATAGATAGGGACTCTTGGATTCTTTCTGTTTGGAAATTTCCCTAGATGATCCTCAGTCTTCAATTTTTTCTCTAGCCACACTTTCCCACCCTCCCCCTATTGGGAGTAAATTCCCTTCTCATGTATTTCCAGAATGCCCTTCTTCTACCTGTCCATTTTAGGATAATTTTGATTTTGCTGTAAGCTTTTCTTATAGTAATGCTTTTAAAAAATAAAAGGGCTTATGTTTGTCTCTTGCCTTTCCAAGGCTTTTGAGCATTTCAGTAGATGAACATGGTACCCTAACTCAGTGTCATGAATTAGTGGTTGATAGGTATGTGGTTTTTTTATTGTTGGTGTGTGTGTGTGTGTGTGTGTGTGTGTGTGTGTGTTACTTCCTCTACCCTCCCCCCCCCACCACCACCACACAGAACAGCTGAAGTTGGAAGGCAACTCTGGAGACCATCTGGTCCATCCGCCCCCTGTTCAAGCAGTGCCAGCTAGACCAGGCTGCTGAGGACCATGTCAAGCTGGGTTTTGCATACAGAATCGCAGAGTAGCTGAGGTTGGAAGGGACTTCTGGAGATCAGAATTTTTCTAAAATTCAGCATATTGCCTGCTGCTCTTAGTTTTCTTGTTCCACCTGCCCTTCCTAGGGGATAGGAAAAACTTCTCAAGTGAAACTCATGAGATTCCTGACCCTCAAGATAGGAGACCATCATGAACTACTCCCTGGAAAAGAAGCTGATGAGTTTGTCTGTAAATATATAAGCTGGAAGCCTGTTATGTGTCTGAATGTGAGCCTGCTACTTGCGTACTGCTATTTACTAATTGCCCATACAGAGAATAGTTTTTTGGAGGCAAGTGTCTAATTTTGATTACTGTACCATGCTCAGCCAATATCTGCTAGTGTCCATATAATATGTTACAGGTCTGAATATAAAGAATGAAAACACAGAACCACATTTTTTTCATTCATGCCATGGAAGACAGTTTTTCCTATAACTGAGCTTTGCTATTTCCAAAAACCAGTGTCGGAAGACATAAATATCTGTTTCTTCTGTGCATGACAGCTGTTCAGTTTTCACTGTTTTTTTTAATGTTACATAATAAAACCACAGTGTGCAGTTGTGATGGAAAGTTGTACTTTCAAATAAGTGTGAAACAATAGACATTTATTTGTATGGGGTATAGGACTGTCGTTTCTCTGTGGAGTTGTATGCATGAGTTACTTGGACAAAAGATTTTGTATAAACAATCCTTCTGTTGAAATTTTAATGTAGAATTAAAAGGTATACCTTAGTTTTCTAAGATGTATTCTCAGGGAAGAGGGAGATGAATTTTGATATCTGTGACTAATAGATTTCTCCTAAATCTTTAAATTAAGAATGACAGATTTTAGGATAGATAAGTTTCACAGGTGGTGTGATTATGTTGCCTTTTATTGTGTGTTTAACCAAGCAACAGCTTTCACATTAGACTTTTGGTTACTGCTGTCATAAAATGAACCTTTTCAAGCAGTGTGATATTCCTAAAAGCTTTATATTAGAAATTGAGATTTTTGTGTAAAAAGGGGTAGTTCTGCAACGTGTATTATGTACATCTTCTGAATAGTTTCTTCAGTATGTAACTGAGCTGTTCTCACTCTTCAGTTTCTTCTTTGCTTTTTTATTTTTTATTTTTACTAAAGTAGTATTTCGCCCTATATTCAGACCAGTAGGATAGCAGATCATGGTTTCTGAAGCCTGCAGACATGCCCCTGCTATTGTAAGCACAGGGGTCTAGGATGATGGGCTTCGTACTG